TTTATTATATAGGCCAGGCATACGAAGTGGTCATCGACTATCGGTAATTACATAGGTTCATGAATGCCATTCTATAAGGTTTATGGCAATTCCAATGCAATCTCTGGGGGCTGTCCCCCTGAAGATCATTTCAGTTATGGTCTGTGTTTTTTTGGCGGAACTTTTGGAGCCTTTCGAAATTGAAGTCTTTGACAAACATTCCTTTGGGTTGTTGAGAGGACATTATTGCGTTCATCTGATGGCGAGAGTCGAACTGAATAACTACTTAACTGTCGAATAATCTGATGATGACTTTTGTTACCGTATCTTTACCCTAAACTTGATTCCTTCCACAGTTGATGGGGCCTGGCCGTTCGCGGACCTACACCCTCGGCTGAGCGCTATTCACTCATTAATCATCTTCGGTTAGCCATTTCTTCACACAGCCCCCTCACTTTGGCATTTCCCCGGCGCCTCATTGTCTTTGTCTTATCCCCCCTCCGGCCATGATTATTCATTCTTGTGTTTTGCGGCGAATTTGTTTTTCTTCGCATGGAGCTGCATGAGCGTTCCCAAGTCGAAGTATCACTTGTGCGTTGTTCCCTCTTTCCTGTACCCACCCTCAGAAAGTTGAGACGGACTGACTGGGCTGTCTGAGATCGGAAATCGCTCCCCTTCCCATCTTCCTTACGCCCTCCTCCCATCGTCGGATTCGTTTCATGCGACCTTTGAAGCTGAGGCTTTCTCGTCGTTTTGAATATCAACTTACCCGGCTATTAATTTTCATGGCCAGCCGTCGCCATCGCTTCCCCAGTCCTATAATTACATTCTCATTTCCCCACTACTCGAATCCGATATTTTTACTCGCTCCGTACGTCAAAAGCGATTTTGATTGTGCTTTATTGAGCATCTAAACTTTAAATAGGCAATATCCTTTCCCTCAGATACTCCGAAAAACTCCTCATCATGTCTTTTGATCCCTGGTGCCTTAATGAAGCGCCTATATCCTCGGGTAAATCAATATCACCGAGTTCTCTTCATTGTCCCTTTTTTCTCTCTGGCATGTAATGAGATTTCTTTCCTTTCCTTTTTTTCTGCTCCCATTTTCCCACTACATAGACGGCCTGAGTTCTTGGAATGCACCCTTGCCTTTTGTGCTTCGTTGGCATGGCTCAGGGAGTTTCTCGCCCACATAGGAATAAACTGATACTTCCTTACTTCCTGAATCGGTCCTCGATAAATGGCTAATCCCAGCGCTTAGCATTATTAAAGGTCGGGTACTTTCTGTGCTAAACTGGTCCTGTTCCAGTAAGCAGGCTCTTGGTGATCGGGTTAGGGAGCCTTGTTCTTTTCAACTAATTATTCCTTAGAGCCGAGGTTTAGGTAGAGATACAATGCGCTTTCAAATGCCATTACATTTTGAAAAGAAGTGGCACGCATGGCTTATCCGAGGTTTCTTATTTACCAATGTATTATTGAAATGTTTTCTATGCAACTTATTCTACTTAATCTACTTGTGGTCAAGAAAATATTTATTCCATGCGTTTTGTTTACTTCAACACACATGTTAATGTAAACAAGTATGTATGTTCCTATGTATTTTCCTGCTTCAACTACGACTATAAATCCAATTTTGGTTTCTGAAAGTTGATTGAGCAAATGATCATGCAATTTAATTAGTACCTTTGTGACGTGGTTTTTCTGACTATCAAAATATGATTTCTTTAAATTATGTCATTCCATTTGTATTTTGGGCAACTTCTCGGGCAACTTGCCAATTTTCTGAAGAATTACTTGATTCATTAAAAACTCCATTTTCTGAAGTTGATGATGTACCTCCGACAACATGAAAATAGATGAAAGCTTGAATGCTCAACTGGAAATGGGTTAGGGCTGTCCAAGGGGTTTTAAGTTGATTCTAATAGAATCGCTTGTGTCGTTTATGGCAACATGTTGCTTGAAATAAGGAAAGTAAGCGGACGGGTAGGAACAGCTAGTGCTTCCCGTTTTGATTTTCTGACGATCACTTACCTTTATACAGTTGTACTGTCGTAAAACCTTTGAAAGCACAGTTAACCATAATTGTGACGTGCCCTATTCTAATCGAAAAGCAAAAGTTTCGGTTGGGAATATTGCAACGTTGGTGAAGAAAGCGAGAAAATTTGCCGATTCCGTGAAAAAAGGGTTCTCGAAAGTAGTGAATATAGAGGTTGTACGAGATCACCATCACGGAACTGTTATGGAAGGGGTATGTGGACGAGATTTCACTTGATGCAATGCACAGAGAGCTGATACAGTTGAGAATTGTCCTTCGCTGTCACTATGGGTCCTTCCTACATGGGTTCCCTTGTGAATGGTGCAGCCTCTAGAATGCCGCCGAAACTCGTCCGTGCATACACATGGGACAATCTTTGAGCTCTTGTAACGCCCTATCTATGCCTTTTTCCGATCTGACAGCACAAAATATAGTATACGAGGGGGTCACGGATTTATCCTAGCGGGATATCTCATAAGCCAATTTTATCGTGAACTATGCCTTTAAATTACATTATGATAAAAAAATGAGTAAGTACGGTGCCATCCAAAATCAATTTGTATACTTTCTTCTGAGGACTTTCAAAGTAGCTGCGGTGAGCATGCAGCTGTCAACGGACGATTTCCCTAACGACATTAGGGTGACAAACGCCGCTAACGACGTTTTCAGCACGTCAGCAAACCGCTATTTGCAGCGATGGGATCGTCGCCGACGGCGCCACCGCGACTACCCGTAGACGAAGTGTTCGATAGTCGCTTGCGGTCATTTTTTTTCCTAAATCGCTTACCACATTCAATTTCCGATAATTTGATGTGCTCCCCACGGGACCAATCAGCCAGGACGTTCATTAGGTGTTCAGTCACGCCCAAAGCCTAAGTGGGGTCGCGTTAGGTTAACAAGACAGCGCATCTTGTCCTGACATTGCTTGTTTTGGACCAAGTGGATTTTCCCAATTCGCCGGAATGGGTGAGTTATATCTTTGATTGGTACACGGCGTATCTCTAGGACAAGCTGACCCAGATGAGTAGAGGAAATCTTCCTGCAGATCACTCCTCGAAAGCCGTGTTTTGTCTGTTTAGGTGCCTGAACATGTGGGACTACCTTCCCTACTGGTTCTTAGAATCTACATGTGAATATTAATATCTGGAAAAGGCTGTGGCTCATTATCAGGCGATCGCATATTCGTTCTTTGAAGCTTTCAGTCTCATTTCCGACTAGCACTGTGTTCCAGCCTTTTTTCTGCCCACTTACCATTCGATTTCCGGTACAGGAATGCTCCTTCCTCTGGGTTCTCTCAGTTACAAGTATACTGCTAACATGACTTCATTTGTCTGCTTCTTGCCTGGGATATCTACTCCTTAGATCCAGTCCAAGGATGAGAAACCCAGCACGTGAGTATCTATGCAAAATGCAAGGTTTTATATTTCCTCCAACGGAATCCCTACAATGAGTTGGTTACAGGGTGTACCGGTCTTCTCTGATGAAGTGGGGAATGAGCTCTTAAATAATTTAGGTCCAATGCTGTGAAGTTTGATTTTCTCTTTGAGGGGCGGAATTAGACTGTTTTCTTAAATTAGCATTCAAAGTACAGTTTGCAATTACTAATTTCTTACTGTATTCTCTAGTAACTATACGATTTTTCTGCTTTCTGAAAAAGTATTCACACCTACTACCTCAAGAATCACTTTCTTGAGTGAGTTATGGAAAAATTGTTCCCCTGATCAGTTTTTTCTTTTCACTTTTCCTTATACATAGACAGTGTGTCGCTTTTGTAGCTACTGATATTGAAAAACGAATCAAAAATGAATGAGAAAGTAAATAAATAAAGTAAATAAATAAATAAATAAGTAAATAAATTATATTTATATCAAAATTCGTTTTGAAAAATCTTTCCAAACATATCGTTTGAAAGTACAAATTCCACATGGTCACAAATCGCTGTTTAGCTCGCCACATTCTCGATTCTGTTGAATGTACTCGGGTAAATTATAGGAACAAGGCTGCAAAATTAGCGCTATCAATGAAGAATGCTTGAAAAAGGTTCCTGCATTGAAACAGGTTCTAAGAAGCTGGAAAAACTGCTTAGTAAGAGGAGTAGGAACAGTTAGACTAAGCTATTCCGCCTATTCCCAACCCCTCCCCTCCTCCCCCCTCCCCCCCAACCGAAAGATTTTACCAACTTTTAGATCAAGTGCTAGACAAGTGCCAGAATGATCGGATAGGTTTGGAAGAAAGGAAAGCGCAGAAAAGAGAATCATATCAGGCCCAATGAGAAATGACTGAAATCAGAGATTACATAAACGGGCAAACGGTCCTCGTCCGAATCTGAACAATCAGGATTCAATGCACGTCTTTTATTGGTTTTCTTTCGTGCACCTTCAATCGATATTCATTCATTCCACAGGGCCGATGTATACTTTTAATTTTGAGGACTTTTATAATTATTTATGAATTTATGGCTTCTTCACCACCCTAAATGTTACCATTTTTACCATATTCGGTAAGCATGAATCTGCTGGAAAAAGTGGGTGTCTTCTAGTTCATCCATAATGCGCCATGCATATGACTTCTTTGAAATTTTGCATCAACAAGCAAACCATAATTGAAACTTGTTGTTACCGAATACATTGCTGAATTGAATTGACATAATTTACAAAATAAAATGGTACTTTCGAAATTTGTAAATCTGGAATTTGAGATTAGGAAGAGCGATATCAGAAGGATAGTTTGGTTTGTATGGGATCCGATCCTGTGATTGGCAAAAGAATGCGGCATCGAAAACAAGAAAATATGGGCTCGAGACAGAAGATTCCCGGATTTCTTACAATCGGGACAACTGACACTTCAAATTGGCTTTCTATTTCGATGTCCGAAATTGAAAATGCTTCCTTTCCTTCTGATTTCCCTTTTATGATGAATTTTCAGACGAGCTTGATGTGATGAGCTTGCCCAGCGCAGTCGTAAGAACCTTTCATTTCTCACCTAAATGGCTGTTTCCCGGAAATCCTCTTTCCCACTAGCATCAAGCACTTTCAGCAATCTTCTTACCATCGCAATCTTCCTTCTCTTCGGCTAGAGCAAAAACCTTCACTTTATATGCAAACCGCCGGAGGTCCTAATTGAATTTGTGGTTTTTGATAAGGCATCCTCCTGGGCTTTCAAAGACGTGTGCGCAGACATTTTGAATGGATTCAGGAGGGGATGTCTTGAAAGCTGTGTGCCCCTCAGGGGATACTTCTGACATCACCAGCGATGTCATTAGTTGTCAACTGCCGCAGGCAATCACTTCCCTGCAATTTTTCAAGAGAAAATCTTCAGTTTTACTCCCATTCCTTCAGAGCCTCCAATCGGATGTTGNTCTTATGTGGGGATTAGGTTGGAAGTGTTGGGGGCAGCGTAGAATCTGGGAAGGTCGTCGGGCACTCTCAGGAGGTGGCGAATCGAAGCAGCAATTTGCAGTCGCCTAAATTCGTCGATTGCCTCCTCGGCGGATCGCTACGCTGCGGCGACAGCTGCAGTTGCCACTGTGGCTGTCTTCCGTACTTCTTAATCGCTTTGGCAAGCGCTGTTCGCTAGCCCAAATGAGTACGGGAGCGGACACCTTTCAGCGTCGCTGACACCTCCTTCATTCATGGCGATCTCCTTTACTTCCCACGTTTATACTACCCATGCTTTCATGCAGCATCATCGCCTTCTCCCACTTCTGCATACTCAATATCCCTTCCAATCAGTCAACTGAATCGTCGTTCTTTCAGCGTGCAAGGCGGCTGCGTTATCAGCGTCGATGCTGACTCGTCGCAAGTCGTCGCAGCCGTCCGACGGCAAGACGGACGGAGGGCCGCGGAAGCGACGTGGCGAGTCCGTCGTCGCACTCACCGAAATCATCAACCTGGAGCCAAGTGCCATCAACAAAAAGCCTTCCGGTGAGTTCCTGCCATTCATTATTTACTTCTTTTATTAAATTGTAATTAATTATTTATGCCTTCCGCAATCTGTACCCGAATTTCGGGGTTCGCCCTTTCGAGACGCTTCTTTCCGATTCCTTAGGCGCATTTTGACTTTAAATCCCGACTACAGGCTGAACAACTAATCAAAGCTCTAACTTTATTCAGTTCATTTAGATAAATCTCGGTCACCTAGGTATGGACGGGTGCCCATGCCACCAGCCCGGGGGAAAACCATGTCGTGTCGATCGTGTCACTACCCTTTATCTTCATTTAGTACGAGTCCACACCATTTCTAAATATAGCGTAAAAACTTTATCAGAATCTGGAAAGTCACAGAGTGAAACTCCGGTCCCAGGGGTCCTCATTATAAAGCGAGTTGTCGGCAGTGTGGGATAGAAGTGTAGCTGTAATGAGTAATCGCATCGCTCATTTTTTTGGCACCCGTCGGGCTTACGAACCTCCCTGTTGGCCTTATTTGTTTCATTTTCACGTCGTCAATGCCAATACTTGAGTTTGGGCGAAAGATTGAGCTTATATAGGCTCAGAACGTTTATACACTAGCGAACATCATCGGGATATGGTTCGGGGATCAAATCTTGGATCGCTACCTGCACAGCCCTACCCACCCTTTGATGCTAGGTGATTGAAGGGTCCAAAAGAGTAACTAAACTGACGTGCACATCGTCTGATGCCCGTAAGGCAATGAAAGCCTCAATTACCAAATCAAAGGCAGCAAAGATTTCAAGCTGCAGTAAATTCATCAGTTAATCTCCATTTGGAGAATCTTAACCTTAAAANTTTTACCTTTTGTATTAGCTATTCGAGTTTTTACTGGTATCCAAAAGGTTGTGCAATTGTTCAAGCTGAAGAGGATGGGTCCTAGCACGATCGACCGTTGTCGGTGGCAGTGGATTGGACCGTTTTTACTTTGCTGGGCGCTCAAAAAACCAACTCGTTTAACAATTCACCACAGAGCAATGCATTCATCCTCTAACACCGTCTGACGTCAACTACCGATCCACCCAAAGGTTGAAGATGTCCGAAACCTTACAACTGGGAAAGCGGTGGCCCCAAAATGACCATAGACTCGGTTTTTCTGATCGGCAGCGCGGAACGAAATCATTTTGAGCTTGCTCGTCTCCATATTCTTACCGTTGTTCCGTGACAGAATTAATTTGATACGTTTTTGTAGAGATTTTGCAAAATGACGTCCTCAAAGAGCTGGTTCGTCTGGCCTGTCTGCTGTCGATGATTTCTGTGTGCCTGCACACTCCTGAGACTATCGCACTTTGGCCACCTCTTAACTATGCAATATTCGCTAATGATTGCATCGTCACTTTGGTATTCCTCGTCGAAGCTGCTATTCATATCCACCATGTTGGCCTCTGGGAGGTCAGTGCTCGAGTTCTTTTCTTTTTCCAAGTGTTTTTACTCATTGTTTTATCTATTTTCCCTTTTTTTTCGGTTTTTTTCTCATTCTCTTCCTCGTGATTCTTAAGCAGTAGTTTTATTAGAGGATAGGTTAGAGGCCAAAGGCCTAATCAGTAGCTGTGCGGTCTTTGAGATTTATTCCAGTCCGTTCCAAAGACATCGTTTACTAGGGGCTTCCATAGCTCAACGTAAGGAGGCGCTCGTACGGAATGAATGTCCAGCTAACCCCATTCTTCAATCCCATCTCCATTTTGAACAGACTTTCTATTGATGGCTGTTACGGAATGGTCCTTGAAAAAAGTATTTCGTCGGCAGTAGCTCTGTAGTACAGTTGACCACATAGCCAGCACAAGTGCTTATTACGTGCTAAGGTGCACGGCGCATTCTGCTGTGCTGGCGGCACTTTCTCTGAATCATTTCTCCATGTGCTCGAATATTTCTAGGACTTACACTATTCATTATTCGGATTTTTAGTTTTTCTATTATTTTACTTAGTTTTATTTTTATTATTTTTCATATTCTTAACCGTCGTTAAGTTTGAATATTGGGAATTCCCGGAATATCTGGCCAGCAGCTTTAATTCTCGATCTAAGAGTTAGCTTCAAAAAAGAAAGACCCATCTCAGAACCCCAACATCTCCATGCCCAGAAAAAAGTACGGCTCATCCAGAGACAATTGGATGAGCTCTTTTCATAGACGGAAGGTTTCACTGATTTCATCGTTTCGGTCAACCATCGAGAGCGTGCAGTTCGTGCCATTGGAATAGTGCAGTTCTTCGAACCCTTACTCCCCCAGCCTCGATCTTTCAGTTTTTCCTCAAATGTCAGTTTTATAACAAGAAAGTCATTGTTCTGATTTACTGCTCAGAATCTTCTCCTCGCGTTTTGTTATGAGATGCATCAGTAAAACTAAAACCGTACTAATGATGCTCTGTTTTGGCACGGTGGATTGTCCTGTTAGCTAGCCCTAATGAGCGCAGGAATCGTATCACGTATCAGGGACATTCTCGTGGGTTTATAGACACCACCAGCAAGGGCCCTGTTGATCGTGAGTTTGGGCGTTCATGTACGGTTTGGTTGCCCAGATTTTTCTCCAAAAATTCCAAAGTCCATATCTGAGAAATTGAAAAATTGATTAATTTTACGAATTTTGAAGCGAAATTCCTTAATCACTCGGTTCGAGCCTGGAATGACCTCTTCCTCACCGTTTTTTCTCCTAATCGCAAGATCAGGAGAAAAAACGAAGAGGAAGAGGAAGATCGTTATCACATAGCGCTTTTAGAGTCGACGATTTTTCATGAGGTGGAAATTGAGAGTGGTTAGACGACTCCTAAAGCAATTTCTTTGATCCTATGAAAAAATTGATTTCTTGGTTTTTCATTTCCTGACGGCCCGTCAATCGTCTAATCCATAGAATTTTGGATGGGAACTTGATAAAAGTCGTTTAAGTGGAAAGATTCGGAATGTTTGTCGAAAGGGAATCATTAGGGAGATGCACATCCTGGAAAATTGATCAAAAAAAACGGGAAGGGCGAGTTTTTCTTCGAGAACGTGCCCGCACACATTCGCTCAGACAAAGAGCAAACATATCTTATTTCGGAATTTTGCTGCGATCGTCGTTTGTCCCGGCAAAGAGAATTGGAGTGCCCTCAGTTTGGGGTGGGGGGGGGNGGGGATTCCTCGTGCATTATAATTTCCTGAAGGGGATGGAACCATAAATTATCGCCGGCCTCAGTCAGTCAGGGGCTCGAACCTGAAAGTAAGCTATCTGGACCTATCCTGGTTTTTCATCGGGATATCCCTGGTTACCACAGATCGTCGAATTTCAGAGAATGAAAAGAGTTTCCTTTTTATCTTCCTTTTTAAAAGTTTTCTTCGTGAGTCAGTCAGCTTTTCCGTTACGGAATGTTTTGCTTGCCTTCGTCGAGTTCATAAACAGAACCGGATTAATCTAATGAGGCAGTCTGAGGGGCAGGGCTCGGTCGGTGTGGGGAGTGAGTGAGAGAGAGACGAGGATGAGGGATGAAGTGGCAGTGTTTCTCTGGCACTCCATCATCGTGCTCAGGCACAATTGCTAATGAGTACGTGTGAGAGGCGGCTATGGCCGATGAAAAGGCGACTGACGTTCGTCGTAGAAGGCTTGAATTATGAGGTGCAGAAAAGATGAAATAGGTTCTTTTCTTTCGATAGAAAATGGAGAAAATTGAACATCTCTATTCCATAGTACTCCATAAGAGGTAGACATCCTGCATAAACTCCTCAGTTGAGTAGCAAAGTGGTATTTCAGATTGGAAGAAGGCCGCTGACTTTGAACTTCTTCCATTGAACATCAGGAAAGCTCTTCTCATAAGTCACAGTTTTGAATGAGCTGAGGCCCAAACGCGTAGTTCCCCTATACATGGCTAGCTCTCCTGCTTTCTATACATATGGGTTACTACCAAAAGGTAGGCAAGGAATGCTTGGGAGCTTGTTTAACTGATCATGAATGCTCAACAGCTTATCTATAATTATGAGTCGTAGCTACATAAATATAGAAATATCTCCAGGGAGTTCATTAACGATATCTATTTTGTTGCTGCCCTCAGTACTTGAAAATCCATGTGGGGAGGAAGTCGACCAAGTGGTCATGTTGAAAATAAACTTTTGAATTTGAAATTCTGTGCTGGATGTGCCTCAAAATTCGTTGGGGCTTTTAACCAAAAGGAAATCTTGGTTAGGGTTAGCGATGGTGCCCACATATAGAAGAAGTTGGGTTTTGTAATCGGAAACCGATTTATGAAACAATGCGACGGATTCACTTACGGCCTTCCTTAGCCTAAAGGTTATCATCGCGATGTTATGAAAACGAAGAGCTATGGGCTTAGGAGAACGGAGCACCTCCTATCTAGCTGCCTGCTGCTCTGACCAACATGATTAATATGCTTTAAAATGTCAGTTTTGACTGGGATCTCGATTTTGAGGAAATTTCCATTAATAACGGATTTCTCGTGACATGCTTCTTGTTACTGAATAAATGCTGGCCTGAATGGATTCAAATTGCATTTCAAATGTACTCTGTCAGTCACTGAGATGCCATGGTTTAGTGTAAAAACAAATGAAGCCAGGTCTGTTTGAGATGCGAGAAACTAAGCAAGGTTCTAAATGAAAATGTTAATATAGAAATCGCACTGCAAAGAACCGGCGATTGACATCAGTAAGCACAAATCAACCTTTCTTCTTCTGCGTGCCTTTGTCTTGAAGGAATCAAAGAGAATGAGGTGTAAGTGTTGTCAAGGAAAAAGTGGAGTGAAGCGCAGCGCCTGGTTCAGCTCTCGTCCAGCTGACATTTCCTTGGTCCTAAGTTGATCTGGTGGTGCCTGATAGGTTCCCAAAGAGCGGAATGCTCAAGTGAAGTGGAGTCAGAATGGGATTTGCCTTTATGGAATATAATCGAAATATGAATTTTGTGTAAGAATTTTCTCATTATGTAGCTTGTCCAATAACTTGCGCTTGCCAGCCGATGTAGAAGCTTGCGCTTTCAACTTACCAGCCCAAACTGGTCCCAAGTGGACGCCAGAGGTATGGAAGGCTTGATCGGTTCGACGAGTATCGGTTCAAATGATTGAAGTACTACGGTATCCTGGCTCGGTTTGCTCGGTGATGTGCTTTTTCTGAAGGCCGACCCATGCATTTGGTTCAAAATTTTATCAGCGGACTACGGGTGGGGCTGGTTATTTGGTGCCAGGCTCGTCTGGGAGGATGAAAGCAATTATCCATATACGCGTTCAATCGCCACGACGGTTCCAAGTGAAACTCCAATGCAACGGCGTATCCCAAAATGGGATTGATTACGCCAAAAAGCTTTGAATTTTTGTCAACGAATTATGAGTAGGGCTGGTTGTTCGGTACCAAACTCGTCTGGGAGGATAGGAGCACTGGCTTGGAATTGGCTGGCCACCGCTACACATTATACTGGGAACATAGGCATTCCATCGCCACGACCATTTCAAATGAAACTCGATTGCAACAGCGCATCCCAAAACATGATTGACGCGAAAAGACGTTGAAATTTGATGAGGGAGTTCTTACGAATCGAACACTTCCAATTCTTGTCCAAATTTGAGGTAACATTGTCATTTCAGAACGAAACATCGTACTTGCGAGCGAAATGGTCCCAGTTCGATCTGTTCATGCTGTTGATGCACGTTCTGTCGTGCGCCTTGCACAGCTATGAACTCTTCACCATTCTGGTACCTTCTCTGGGTCTGGTGGTCCGTTTCTAATAACTTTCACAACTTCCAATTTTTTCTCTAACTTTTTGAATTACTCCAAGTTGTTATTCGCGGAGTTTCAGTACCGTCCATGGTTTGGGGTGATTCGATCGCCACGTCCGTTTATCATGTTACGATTCATACGCTCGTTAGTCCGATTCAAATTGCCAAGGAATCGAATCAAACAAATTATTAAGTGAGTTGTGGGCAGTGCTTATGGGAATGGATAAGTTACAGGTCTAGGAGAGTTTGGGGAACAGAAAGATCAGATCAGAAAGTCTAGGAGATCAGAAAGTTACCCACTTTCTCCAACTGCTGGGGTAGAGTAGCCATCTACTGGAATTTTTCGAATCATACAATTTCCAGGCGATCATCGCAGCAAATCCAAAATGTCACGATTTTCTTTATGTTCTTCATGGCCCTGTACGCTATCATGGGTGTCCAACTGTTTGGTGAGTTTGAAATCTTGCTATGAGGCCAACAGCTTCCCATGAGGTCATTTTATAGGTCGCATGGACTACCATTGTGTACTGAGTGGCACCGATCCACGGAATGTCACCATTGCCGATTTGGCGATCCCGGACACGATGTGCTCCCAGAAGGGCGAAGGTGAGCACCGGTATTTTCCTTGGCTGTTATTTCGCCAGATATCCTGAGTGTTATATTGGAATTCTAGGTGGTTATGAATGCCCTGACAATATGGTTTGTATGAAGCTTGATATGTCTGCTCATGTTGAGGGATTCTATGGAATGTTTAACGACTTCGGTTGGTACCTTATACTTGTTTCCCTCCAAAAAAATTGGTGGTAAATATTGAAAATTGAAGTATCCTTCGCAGCTAATGCGATTCGCAAGATACGTCAAAGATTGGGGTTGCATGTTTTTTGATTACTTTGTCATTTCCAGCATCGTCCCTATTCACTGTCTACATGGCAGCTTCACAGGAAGGCTGGGTGTATGTCCTGTATGATTGCCTCGACACATTGCCCTCATATGTTGCATTCTTTTACTTCGTTACGCTGATCTTCTTCTTGGCCTGGTTAGTCAAGGTAAGTACGCGTGACCGAAGTGGCTGGTTAAGGGATTTGAAGCACTAACAGTTGCTTCTCATTGTTCACTGAGTCATTGAAACTGGGGACATTTAAGGGGTCCATTTAAAGGTGAAACCTGGTTTTCCCCTGTTACTGTACATAAACTCAGAGATGGGTCATGAATGCGAAGTGGGTTCATCTGCTCATTATGTCTTATACACCTCCTGGTTGCCTTTTTTTGGATCGCTGACTCTTTGGCTTTTTTTTTCGGTAGAATGTGAGAAAACTGGATTTAAGGGCGGAATTATTGTGATTTTTATTACGATATTAATTAATATTGTTATATTCATTAACTGATATTTAATGTTTTCCCATGGGAATGAATGAAAGCATGGATTACAGCTGTTGTTGTTCCTCAATGGGGTTTGGTCAAACCTACGGTAAAGACCAATTTGCATCCATTTGCACTCTCCAGCTTTTAAAAGACAGCTAATTTTTTGATGAAACCCGGTTTTAAATGATGGTTGTGATTGTTGTGGGCATCTCAAGAGGATATTGCGTGATACTGCCCACGCTAAGTGGCTCCAGTTCGGAAACTGCAGCTGATTGCATTCAAAAGTGGCTTTCAGTGGGGGCCACACTTGGCAAAGACGAATACTCTCCATTTCAAGAAGTGCAGAAGATAAAGTCTCCCGGCGGCAATCAGACCTCTTTTTTCGGATTCATGCCCTATTCGAATTCCTTTCCGAATAGTAGTGACATTAGAATGCGCATATCGCCTTAACTACTGCTTGCAGTAGGCCAGTATATCTTAAAGTTCATAATTCTACCTTCACAGACTGGTCCAATACCAATGAACGGAGCCTGTTGGGTTGGTAGGTTCGGTTGGTCTGGGCGACCATGAACGGAGCCTGTTGGGTTGGTAGGTTCGGTTGGTCTGGGCGACCATCATTTCGATAGTCTATCCCCGAACCATGCGTGTGTTGGTGACACCTACCGTGAGAGTTGGCAATACACGGCTTATGCCCGTTTTAGGGGCAAATATAGGCTACCTATGCTGATTCATGACTTTTCTCTTTTCTACTGGATTCTTCTACTAAATCTGCTCCTGGATAGCAGTGGTCTACCCCAGCGATACCTAGCAACCGAGAAACCTTGCTCGTATTTGACTCATATAGACAATTTCTTGCGCCTTCTCTATCATTTGAATAAGGGTAATATACATATGTCTGGTCATTTGTTCAAATTGACAGGTTTTACTTGCAATTAAATAATCTAAAAAAGTTTATTTATGAGCACTAATACGAATTGTTGGCGGAGGTGGTGTGGTGGCAAGTGGCGCACTATATCACACGCACGGTCAGGGGTTCGAATCCCGGATTGATGCCCGCCTTGGCCAACCAAGCCTTCCATCCCTCCGGGGTCGGCGAATTGGTACCAGACTCGCTTGGGAGGATAAAAGCACTGACTTGTACATCGGCTGGCCACCGCAAGTCATTGTAAAGGCCACATACGCATTCATTTCGCCACTACGATTCTGAATGGGAGTCGAGTGCGGAGGCGCATCCTCAGACGGGATTGATTAACGCCAAAAACTTTATTCTTTATCCTTTTAATACGAATTGTTGGTTCAGAATGTCTTCATTGCGGTGATCACTGAAACGTTTGCCGAAATTCGAGTCCAATTCAGTGAGATGTGGCAAAGCAACACGAGCGCTTCCGAAGATACCTACACACAGGTTTGAATTTTCCTTCCCAATAGCCTCCTCTCCGAAGAATCTGAAGGAACTCAGCTGCATGGGAAATGATAGAATCCCTGTTCCCCAACCGGCGAATTTTAGCCGACACCCTCTTTAATGACCTACACTTTTATCCACCATTACTTGTTTGGATCGATTTAGTAGAAGCGGTTATTTTGGATTTTCAGCGCTTGGAACGTTTCGAAGGTGGATGGCGTCTTGTAGAAGTCGATCACTACAGTAGGAGTACAGGCAGTCCCCGGCTTCTTCAACTTGTAGGTTTTTTGACATCACTCTTTTTGTCTTTTTATTTTTCCCTGCCAAAACCTTCTGAACCTTCTGAGGGGTTTTCTAAAAGTGTTAAAAATGGATTTCACCTAGTCCAATGATTTCAAGCCATAGATAAATCATGACTTCGAAAGGTCGCCCGAAATATGGCGATTTCAGCACGTTTGGAGTAAACCGTCGTTATAGCGTCTATTCGGTAGGGGGTTATGGAGTGTTAGTTTCACCACTAGTCAATATGAGTTCAGTAAGAGGAGCATGTGCAACCCACGAAGTGCATTGCCATGCCCCATGGGTAGAATGGTGAGAGGCTAGGAGCCACCAAGACGTGAGTGGATGTCCGTCGCATTGTCGCGTTATGACTACAGAGGCCAACATAGTAGACGGTTTTGACAGCTGTTTAAACCACCTGAACTTATGAAATCCCAAAATTGGAAAGTTGAAAGTAACTTCAAATTTGGTCCTTTGTTGCACCCGATAGTTGATGTGGTCCCAATTCTTTTTTTTTNTTTTTTTTTGCGGAAAGTGAAGATGATCGCCCTGTCATTTTTCAGATCGTTAACAGTACAGTATTCCAAATATCCATGATGGGTTTGGTGTTGTTGAATGCGCTGATTAATGCCTCATTTGTCTATCGCCATGATAAATCTGATGCCATACGTAAAGAGATCTACTATTATATGGAGGTTAGTTTTCAAAGTTTAAAATAAAAATAAAAATAATAAATAAAAGTAATAATAATAGAAATAATAATAATAATAAATAAAAGTCACGTATAATAATGCAGTGTCAAAAAATTCATCCTCAACATGACATGACACCATTCTTGCATCAGTAAAGTATAATTACTTGACTCATAATGAAGTTTGTAGAGCACCCTTTCCTAGTAATCGGAGTGTTTTAGGAAAAGGGATCCTACAAAACTGATAATATTCTTGTATTTCAAGTGGCGCACTATCTCAAATAGGCACGATCACGGGATCGATATCTGTCTAGGCTAACCAAACCCTTCAGTACCCCGGGGTCGGTTTATTGGTATCAGATTCGTCTGGGAGGGTAAAAGCACTGACTCATTGGCATCGGCTGGTTACCGCAAGTCATTGTATAGGCCACCTACGCATTCAATACCCATTACGATTCTGAGTGGAAGTCGAATGCGTGGGCGCATCCCTCGAACAGGTTGATTAACGCCCCAAAACCTTAACCTTTACCCTTTTATTCTTGAATTTGGAAATCGACATTCTGAACATAGCGGATCTTTGTTTGGACCGTTGGAATTTTTGAAACCACTTATAATTCTTATAAGGTCCTTTACCAGATCTGCTTCACGGTGCTGTTCAACATCGAAGCGCTTTTGAAGGTGATCGGTTATGGCTGGAAGAACTACGTCAGGCGTGGTCAACATAAATTCGAGCTCATCCTTTGCGTTGGTTAGTGACGTTACCCTTATTCTTTTGAAAATGATACAGTATTCATTCTTCAATATAAAATTATCTACAGAGTTTTTACGCTAACAACCGTTCTAGTTTGATTTTGCTCGTAAAGGAATAGCCTCTCCCGTAACAGCTCTAATTTTCCCCTTTTCGGGGACTGTTTCAGTTTCTGAACCTAAACAATTCTACGATAGCATTTCTGTCTTATAAAAAGGCATCTGCCGTACCCTCGACCTCTATTTGAGGGCTCAATTAAAGTTGTTCCGGGACCATACCGATCTTTCCAGGATCGACCTTGAATCTTATTCGTCCACTGTACAATATGAATATCTTCACCTATTTTCAAGTGTTCCGTATCGTTCGTCTC